AAAAAAAACGATCTAAGATACGCAACTTCAGCTACAAGAATAGCGTAGCTGAAGTCAATGTATCTTAGATCAACTTAGAATCACTTTCCCACGCCACGAGGATGTGAAGTTCAATGGCCACCACTCCCCCGTTGATTCTGCTTCCGCCTCTCGCCATGGTGGAATTCTGGAGTTGATGTCAGAGCGATCGGGGATTGATTTATTGCAGCTACACTAGACACGATAAATCGATCCCTGATAGACGTACCCTAAGTGAGTGAGTGACAGAGGTGGGAGTCAGACCCAGAGGTCCTGTCTCCCACATTGCTGTGACCTCAGGATACACGCCCTCCCTCCAAGAGCTCTATTTCAGGGGTACTATCACCTGATAAACACAGGCCCAAAGGCAGGTTTTTCCCTCTTTTCAGGTCATCTTTGACTTCAGTTCCCTTTGTGCAAAACGGATAATACCCAGTTCACAAGGGTGCTACTGCAAGTGGTTGTTCAGCACTTGAAGATGTTAGGTGTCATATAAGGGCTAAATATTGGTATTATTAAGAAAGGTAAAGGCTGTTTAGCCTTACTCATGTTGTTCTTATAAAGAAACATTCATCTTCCTATGGTATGTTCTGTCACAAGATCTCATGCCCATTTATCTCAAACTGAATCTAAATCTAAAAGTCACAGCCTCTGCATACTGAATAGTAATAGCAGATTGGGTTTTTAGAGCACAGATTTTGCCTGAAGGTGACTTCAAATGAGAAACTGACTCTACACAAAAGTTTGTGTGGATTCATAGTCCGTACTGCATAAGCAAGTTGATAAATAATATTGAAACTATCAGACAGGTTAAATACATGCTTGTAAGTGTTGCCGGCACAGAGGGCCCGAGGGGGGTAACAGCGGGGTTCGTTGCCCGGTGTGCTTCGTGCCAATGAACACACCAGGGTGGAGAAGCAGACAAAGTTTATTCAAGAGCTCTGAATAGGCACTAGGAGACCAGCATGTCTCAAATCAAGCACCCTGATACAAGCAGTTTTTCCCTTTTTATCCTTTCCTTCCTGCCCCCCTTCCTTCCCTACCTCCTCCCGGTAGCAGTTACATTAAACAACCTTGGCTGTGTAGCTTGTTTGCAATGTTCCCTTCTGCATGTTATTTTGTCCTTCAGCTAGAAGCAGGTAGGTTCCCCTTATCACTACCGCTTTCCAGCTGCTGGTTTGTGAGGTTAGTAAAGTTTAACATGGAGGGGCTTTGGTTCACTTTGGCCTAGAGCAGGGGGAGGGGGGGGGGGCTTCATCGACTCTCGTGGTTTTCCACCCCCCGAGTTACCTAGGGTGATGCCTAGTGATACCAACATAAGTTTCAAATAAAATAAATTAATTAACAGCAAAACTTTGAATAATCCCTGGTTCTGAATGAATCTTCCATTTACTAAATTAATTCCCCTCCAATCTACAGGATAAAGCTGTACTGGTAGCATGGTGAGCTACGCTGAATTTTTTATTTTATTTTATTTTTATAAAAACACAGTGCAAGTTCTTTTCCCCATAGAGAGAAACTAGGTTTATGAATCTTTTATTATAATATATCATCATTTATAATAAAAGTTATGTCTAGGATATGATAAAATACATCAGAGAGGAAAACTGAAAATTAATTGCTGCTTTGTGGAATAGTAATATTGAAGTCAAATAAAAAAAATAGAAATTCATGCTTATGCAGCAAAATAATTTTTAGAGAAATCTGAGAGGGACAGCCCATTAGAGCCTAAGACAGGATGAAGAGTTTCATGTAGGGTGACCAGAGGTCTCGATTTTATAGGGACCGTCCTGATATTTGGGGTTTTGTCTTATATAGGCCCCTATTCCCCCTCAGCGCCGTCCTGATTTTTCACACTTTCTGGTGACCCTAGTTTCACGCAATGCATCCGCCAGCCCAAAGGGAAGCTATTATTGAGCTATCGAGTTTCTTAAAAAGCATTCAGCATTTCTAATGGAACATTCTGAAATCACTCACTCTTGGAAGTAACTATTTTAATAATATTCATTGTCCCAATAAGTGTTAACAGGAGCACCAACACCCTTTGTAAAACCTGCAGCATCTTTGACAAAGAAAAAGAATGTAATTCAGATACTTGTTACTTTTCAGAATTACTCCCAGATATTTAGTGTTATTATTACTCATTATTAGTTATATTTTGCATATGTAGATGAGGGAAAGTTGATCAAAATCCTGAGGAAGGAAAGCTTAATAGTATTCCAATTGACAGACAATACTGATAGGTCTTTAAAAGTTTGCTTGGTCTCCCAAATCAGTGGAGCAGCAGTCTGAGCATACCAAACAAACCAAACATTTGTTTATAGACAATGAAACAATATTTTTGATAGTGCCAGTTGAAATACTCTGCAAAGGATAGTGATCAGAATTTAGCTGCAGTCACAAAGAGGACGGGATGGGATGATTCATGTGCAGTGAACTAAAAGGAGCTGCACTTATAGTACTTTACCCATCTGAGAAAAGAAGCATTTTAAACAAATAGAACCATTCAAGGAAATCAAGAGTCTGTTTTAAGTCCATAGCAAGAATATATTCCTTATTTATCTAGTCCTTGTACAGTACATAGAAAACATTAAATAGCCATCATAAATGATCTACTGTTGGATTTATTCCGGTCATTCATGAATAGTTCTTGGGTACTGAATTCACTACTACTTGTTCTAATCTATAAACCACAATCGCAACTAAATGTTTAGATCAAAGTTTTAAAAAATAATTGCTATAACTATAAATACTAATATGTATGCACCTAATGTAACTTACAACCTAGATGGACCCCACCCTACCAGATGATAGTTTGTGTTTATCACCCTTTCTTTTAATATTCCTGTGCAAAAAAAATACTTGCACTGTCAACAGTTCTGTTTTCCTTTACTAAAATGTTTGTTACTAGAAAAGAGAAATGGGTCTACATGATGCACAGTGAAGTCGCTCTTGAATAGGGTTACGAAAAAAATGCAACAGCTTCATTGAGGGCAGTAGGAAAACTCCATGCTGGCATTTACCTATATTAATACAATGTCAGATAAAGGATTGTTAACGTGAAGCTAAAATCATTTACAAAATATTATTATAAATATTATAATAGCAAGCTCAGGTCATGGGTTCCCCTGTACTGAAAGCTAAATAAAATAATAATAGCCAAGAGATCTTACAGCACTTTGCAAAAGAAGGTAGATATCATTATCTCCATTTTACCAATGGGAAAAGTGAGGCAATGTGCTTAACAAAGAGTTGAGCACTCTGCCCCCAACCGCAAAGCATTTGAGTACATGATTCAATCTAAGCATGTGAATAGTTCTTTTGAAGTCGGTGGGACTACTCCCATGCTTAAAGTGAAGCATGTATTTAAGCAATCTGCCTGGACTGAGGACAGAGTGCTGACAACTTTGCAGGATCAAGCCCTAAGAGTTTTAGGGTGAAATCCTGGCTCTATTTAAGTCAGTGGCCAAGGATCAGGGCCAGGAATTTACCCTAAAGAGCCCATTGCTATTTTCCCAAATATCTGCTCTTCTCTGCTTCATAGGGCTAGCTACAGGTGCTAGGGCTGTATAACACTCTTTAAAGGATTTATTTATTTGCACTGTACTTGCTGTGGCAATAGCAATAATTCTCCTAGAGACAAGTGGCCAAATTCATCTCTGATTTTAGTAGAGTTAAACCAGGGAAGAATATAGCCCATGATATTTAAGTAAGATCCAAGAATTTTATCAGGTCCTCCATCCTGCCCCAAGCTTTCCTATTTAGCTTTAAGTAGAAGATTTGTGGCAGAGACAAATTACATTTGTCACATGTAATTGTGCTTACACATTTCTATATTAAAAGCACTATAAAAGGAATAATTTAAAACAGTGGTAATAACTTGCTCCTCAACTACAACTGAGTCAGAGGGCAGGCTTAAAATGTGCAGTGTGGACACCACCCCAAATTATCATAACTAGGTGAAACCCTGGGATAGTGCAGTTATAGGTCCCATCTTGAAAATTATAGCCCTGTTGGAACTGGGTCACTAAATCAATTATCATTGTGGCATAGATGGGCCTAATCAACACCCTGTTAAGATATTCATCACCCTTATCTGGGTACAAGAATTGGGTGTTAACAATCTACCACCGTTTTAAATGCTTTCAGTACCATTTTAAGCAAAGCCAGCCTGAAAGAGCAAACAGCCGGTGCAAACTCACCTTTTACACAGGAGAATAAAACCACCAGGCACTTGGCTAGAAAGATCCCCCTAAAGTTCATTTTCAAAATCATAGCTGCAAACTGCCCCGCCGGGAAGAAAGCTCCTGGCCAGGGAGATGAAGTTCTACGATGATCAGCTGCCTTTCGCTGCAGCAGCTGTGGGCTGGGAAGGGGGCGGGTCGCGGTCAGCCCTTCCATGCTGCGCGGGGCTCCGGCGGTGGAAGGCCCGGACCCTTTTAAATCGCCGGGCACCGGGGTAGCCGCCCTATTTGCCCCTGCCCGTGGGGAACAGGGGCTGGGTTTCTATGATTATCAGATAATGCCTCAGCAGCAGGCGCCGTTGAGGAGCCTGTTAAACTTTTCCTTTATCTCTGATCCTTCATTGTCTAAGGCAGAGCTTTAGCCAACTGGGCTGCTGTTCTCTGCAGCTGACTGCCCTGATGAAGTTGTAATGAGGAAGGTTTCCATGCTACTCGACCCAGGCTGTTTTCTACTAATTGTCACTCAGAGAAACCCATCCCCCTATTGGGCCATCAGGGATGCATTGCCTTTACTGGTATCATCCAGGGTAGGGAGTAAAGTTAGCAACTGTGCACCAGGGGAAGAGAATTAAGTTTGATGGTACATAACTATTATGAAATCAGCTTTAGGGAGAGGTTACTTTCTGGACTCTATAAAGAATTCCAAGACCATTTAGCCTAGCTGGGTCATGAGGATTCAACTGAGCTTTTGCTGGGAATGTATCAGGGCCCGGTTCTGGGTCTAGATCAGGTGAGATAAAATGTAGGTACTTTCTGCTGTACTGAGGTAGTGGACTTATTCCTCTTTAAATAACCTTGATCAATATTTATTCAAGAAACTTCCTGACTCTCTACTAGTTGCATCATATATCAATCTGAGCAGAATTGTATATTAAACAAAAAGAATGCGTGACATGGAAAAGAACAATCTGATATTGATTCACATGTGGTGTAGGCATCCAAACAACTCATAGGGAGATCTCATCTGCTTCTATACTTCACTGCAAATCACTTTGAATGGTAGAGAGAAAGAAAACTTTAACAACTTTTTTGAAACATTCTCATCAGGAACATTGGTAGTTTCTTTGTTTGTTTGGGATGAACTGGGAAGCAGGGAAAAACAATCTGTGCTTGTATATGTCACATTCTTTCAGTGCTTAAGTAATGCAGAAACTGGCTTCCAATTGAAAGTTAATGGGCTGCAGGCTCCTAAGTCTTTTTATAAATGCTTAGGTGCTTTTTATAAATGACTAAAATCTTCAAAAGTAACAAAAAATGACATTAATACTCTCTTCCCCCTCTAAAGTAAACTTGGCTGGGTTTGCATATGCATTTGTTTGTTTTTTATGTAGTATTTATTCTGAATACCATTCTGATCACCTGCTTGTTTCTGTTTATTTTCCTGAGGGTAAGGATTAAATCTCTCAGTAAATATGTGAAGAATAGAAACCAAATATGTGAAGAAGAAGAAACCAACAACAATTAGTTTCAATTTCTATGACCATAAAACAAAACAAGGTGCCTGTTTATATCCACAGTTATGCTAGCTTTTCAAAACTGATTTCTATTGGGGGGAGGGAAAGAGAGAAAGCAAAGAATTTGAATATGATGAAAATTAAAGAGTTCAGTGTTGGATCTTAGGAAAAGCATGTGCAGTATTGGACACCTAGAATGCACAGTGTCTTTTCTGCATTGACATATTGGCAAAATAGGATAGATTTTGACTACAGAAATATTAACTTTTCAGTACTAAACATTCTGAATTGCTTGCAAACAATTCAATATGCTGTTTGTTTTATTTTGCATTTTAGAATGATGCATTTTTAATTTCCTGTAAGGAGATTATTTTAACATAATAAGAACCATTTCACATATTCTGGGATTGAGTGGTACAGCTGGGTGAATATTGCAAGAAAAGTGTGTGGCTATGTTTAATTTTTTTAACAAATTTGCTTTGAATCTGTTTACTCCTTTTTGTGTGTGCTTACTTTTTGAGAATATACTTGTTAATGAGTCTATGGGCAGCAATGTTGGAAGGAAGGGGCAAATGTTAAGCAAACATTGACAAAAAAATTTCCCCCAGAAAGTGGATTTTGAATCCACAAAAGTATTCTGACTGGAAAACACCCTCAGCCAATCATTGAACAAAAACATAACATAGTGTTGGTATCAACTCGAAATGGAGCAACATTTCTGAATATCAAATACTTGCTACAATCTGTCCATAATAATCCGCAGACCAAGAATTATTTCCAGAAATTATTCAGCCAACGTGGCTAACAAATGCATTGATATTTGTATTATGTCTGCTTTCAAAGGTTCCAGAGAGACCAGATGGGTGAGTTAATATCACAAAAATTCCAATCACAGGAGAACTTTGTTATATGGTACCTAGCTCAAATGCTTGCAAAAACAGTCTTTGCCCCACAAATTATAAATTGTAGAAAAATAAGCCTGTCTATGGCAATTCTTGGGCAAAAAGAAAGGGCAAAATTGGACTGTTCTTGGCTAAAATTTTTCAGTCACATCAACTAATTAGTAAAAGGCTGATGTCTAGCCACTGGATCCTGAAAAGACTTAAGCATGTGGATGGCTACTCACATGAGTAGTCCAATTAAATCAGTTGTAGGTAAACTTTGTATATTGATACTGTCCAGGCAAATATAACAGCTCTTAACTAATTTCTCACCATAGCTTTGGCAAACAAACCTGCCCTATGCATAAATAGAAATTATTAATGGTAGTGGTTACTTACATCCAATCATAATTCTTCACCGTGTCAAATTCTTCCACTGCATATGTTGATGATGCAGTAACTTCACAATATCTTGCATACATAGTAACTGGAACTTTTCAACAACCCTAAGCTGTACCAAACTCATGGCACCACTACAGTATAAAGTGTAGCAAGGGTCCTTATTTTCTCTGATTTGCAACTTTTTTCATAAATCTGTTTAATGTTCTTGCTGCTCATGTTACATTGGATAATTATCTACTTCAGTCACTCTCTCTGAGCTAGGAAGGGGTCACTGTGTAGCCCCAATGTTACTTTTAGGAACTCAGAGTATGAAAACTTTTTGAATCATGCTTTAAGCTTTATACTTGAGAGACTACTTCAATGAAGGCCACAATGGGCTCTATGAGCAGGCTGTCCAGGGCATGATCTCTTCCCCTATTGTAATTGACGAAATGAGTAAACCTTCAGGAGTTTCTACCTCCAAGAGCTCAGCCATTCTTGAAGACAATCAGGGACATAATTTCCTGGGTTTAGTTCATCTCTTAATCAATATTTCCTGATTAGAATATTAAAAATTCATCTCAGGCCACCCAGTTCTCTCAGATCTCTGCACTGTTTCCCAGGTTGGGGTGAGCCTCATGCTTTTCTGTATTTATAAGCAGCTTTGACTCGCCTCTTCCATTATTACGTCAATCTTAATTTTCCTTGTTATGCAGATAATATGCAAATATCTTCTGGCTAGTTCAAATCCATTCCTACTATTACTGATTATTAGCGTTCATTACAATCCTAGATGGAACATATTATTAAAAAAAGTTACATCAATAAAATGACTGTCTAATTTACAGTTCTTTGTTTTCTCCCAACCCAAAATACACATTCCCATATTTCAGTTTTTGCCTTTCTCCTCTAGTCTTTTTGGTCCAAATGTATCCTTGGAGCATATTGTTCTACATAATTCACTAAATTTAAATGTTACCATTTTAGAAATATCTTCTAGATTAGACAGAGTACATTATACTATACAAAGGATGTATAGTGCATTATAACACTTGTTCTCTAGGAGTAATTATTGCAATCCTCATTATTTCCATGATATTTCAGAAGGTTTAAAATACGTTGTAACATTGGTTTCCAAATAAAATCTGCCGCACAAATTTATCATCAACCTTTCCTGCTTTTTAAATCATCAGACTAGTTTGCAGAGGGGAGTATTGGATAGATCTCAGCAGGATCTGCAATGGGGCTTTGGCTTTTTTTTTTTAATCCACAGCCTTGCTTTGGTCTGGCACAAAGTCATCCAACCTTAGTTAGCATTCAGGGAGGGAATGTGTCTCAGGAGGCAAAATACCTTTGAAGATCACAGGCTCATGGAGAAAGCACATTTACTGCTGATCTCCTTTAGGCAGGTGGTCTGTCTCAGAGCCTATGTGTAAGGAGCAATGCTAGGCCATGCCTCTGCCCCTGCTTGTTAGAGCACCCTTTCAGGGGAAATGCACCTGTTCATCCCCTGCACTTAACATACCGGTATCTTTGGTGACCCACTCAGGAGTCAGCCACAATTCGTGCATTAGCCATATAGTATAAAATTCACATTAGGTCAATGCTTTGAATGAAGTCCAGGCTGGTCAAGATTAGTGATAGGCAAACATCAATAAGTTTGAGGTCCAATTTGCAAATCCCTAGTACTGAGAATCCAGGACGTTTCCTATGGCCTGTAAAACACCCATCTAATTAACTGGGAGGAAGGGTATTATGATGATGATGGATGCCTGTACAAAATCCTGTGATAGATATAGATTCAGACCCATTCCCCTCTGCGAACATCAAGGGATGGGGTGGGGGGGGCAGGGCTGGCCTTACCATGAGGCGAACTGAGGTGGCCGCCTCAGGTACCAGACTGTGGGGGGGGGCACCACTAGGACCCAGAGTGTAGAAATTTGTGATTACTGCTGGTGCATATGTATTCTCTCTGCTCTAGATGCACAGAGAGAGTGGAGTGCTGTGCTGGAGGAAGAAGGGCATAAGAGACATAACAGGCAGGCAGGAGAAAAGGTGAGAGGGAATAACAGACAGTAGCAGGAGCTGCAGGGAGAGAGAGGAGGAGGAGCCTCTTATGTACCTCTCTAGCACCCCCAGAAGTCTGGACTGATTAACACCAGCTTCTCAGGGAGCTTCCTGTTTCCTGCTGCTTCCCTGAACCCACTTGAGGAGAACAGGCAGTCAGCTGAAGTAGTAGGAGCCAGTTAGGCCCTTAAGATGCTGATATCTTCTCTCACTCAGGCCCCGCTACTAGCAGGGCCGGCTCTAGGCACCAACAAAACAAGCTGGTGCTTGGGGCGGCACATTTTTAGGGACGGCCAAAATTGTTTTTGCCTTGGGCGGCAAAAATCCTAGAGCCGGCCCTGGCTACTAGCCTGCTTATTTGTCCCCTTCAATTGAGTGTTGAGAGCCATTATAGCTAGCACTGAACAGCAGTCATGAGTGAAAGAAGAAAACGCCCCTCTGGGGCAGCATTCAGAAAAAGAAAGAAAGCAAAGGAAGCTTTTCTATCTAAGCAGGAAGGAGCTCTCCTAAGATACACAGACACAAATGTTTATGGTGAGCCTTCCGGCCCCAGGGAAGATGTGAATGGTTAGGAGATGCCTGATCTTCCAGTTAGTCAGAGTGCAGGTGACCTGGCAGCTACTGCAGC